GCCTTTCTGCGCAAATTAAAAATTTAGAAATTCTTGCTGTGCCGAGGTGCTCTTTGCCAGCGCAGCTAAAATGAAAAGGCTTTGTGGTGGCAGTGACCAGATTTTAAATGCAGCGAGATCAATAAATAAGAGGGGGCTGCTTGAGCACAATCTCTGAATGTCTTTGAGTGTGTATGTGTGTGAGGGTCAAATACTGCATGTCCTGCAGTCAGCTGTCACAGTGCAGTAGATTCTCTCCCATCCCACAGCTCTCGCCAAATCCCACCAAGCCTCCCTTTTGCCCTCTCCCACAAGAGGAGCATCATTCCTGCCATTCCTGAAATCTTGGCTATTTCTACTCTGGATGCAAATATAGCGATAAGCACTAGAACAAATAGGCCAAACTACTGGCATTTCAAACACGGGCTCCATTATCTCAGCAGGGGGACTGGAGCGTCGCAGTGGCAACCCACGGCACAGGCGACATGACAGTCTCCTGGAGGGCAAACAACACCGGAGACACAAGCAGCGCGGGGTGGAAAAAACAGCCCTCATCTCTCCAGAATACTCCTCTGCTCGGAATCACTAATGCACTCAAACCCTCATTGAGGAGCTGAAAGAGATAGAAAGAAAGAGAGGGGGGGGGTAGATGAAAAGCAGAACAACAGGCGTACAGAAAGGTTTCAGAATGACGACCTTCAGGTGTCGAGCATGAGATCGGCTTCGATGATTAACAGCAGAATATGGAGACGCTGGTGGAGAGATACACACGTATTCTGAGCGTACACTTCCCGAAGCTTAATTCCTTACTATGAAGTTACAGCAAAGGAGATTTTTCTTTCTCAAGTCTCAATACGAAGCCTTTCTTGAGGGAAAAAATCAACCCTTTCACCTTGTCTGTGAAAAACAAGCGCTCAGACAGCCCAACAAAAATAACCTTGAGTTTCATCAGGGATATTCTCACATTGAATGATAAACAGAGGCCCGAGGGACGCTGAACCAAAAAGCAGCTAATTGCCTGCCTCTGAAATTCGGCCCCTGTGTCCTCTCTGTGTTTATCTGAAAACAGACTCAGTTTGGTGTGACCCGCTTTAGCTGCTGGTAGAAAAGCTCATTCATTTAACTGTCCGCAGAAATGCGAATCTCCGGCTCGTTACCACGGACTGGCAGGCTAAAGGTAAAGAAGATCATGTTTGCGACACAATTATCGAGTCTGCTGTGACCGACGTGCGCTTCTGCTGACACAAACAGTTGTCTCCCAAACGCTAATGTTCACGCTAAACTGCAACCCCCATAACCCGCTATTATCTAAGAGCCAACTGTTGAGAGGAAATTCTACAATCAAAGCTGTTTGCTAACGACAAAATAAATCATTAGCCAAGGAAAGCAAGATAGAGATGCACTTATCCATGATACCGTTTAGCGTCATGCCAACTGTTGTCTCACCAAGCAGCATGGGGAAGAATATCTGTCAGTATTTACAAGGTGATTTGCCAAGTCGTTATGAGTGCAAGGACGCAACCTGCTCTGAAAACAAATTCAACGCTGACCTTCCGGCATCGAGTGTATTCAGGGCTGATTCATTTGGCAGTTACTGGCCACACACACGGCACACCACAGCTTGTATAATCAAGCTTGTGCTTGAGTTTGAGCTCTTTAAATGACAGGTGTTATGATCAGGTGAGAACTTCTTGCTGCCTTGGACTTTTATGGGACGGTTAAATCAACTGAAGATCGAGTCTGAGCTTTCCAAAGTTCATTCAAATCAATTTCACCATTAACACGGCAATGATTGATGCGGGATTAAAAAACAAAATCAATGGCTTCCACTGAAGATGCTGCAAATAATTTGTCTGTATCCAGATTGACGCTGGGGGATGTTTTTACTTCTGCTTTTTGTTCCTCTTCCTTCTTATTTTGACTGGTCCACCTTGCCCTGATTTTGGGGCCAATGCGAGAATCTATTTTTAGTCCATCACAGACTAAACTTTATTTAAATGTGTATATATATATATATATATATATATATATATATATATATATATATATATATAGAGAGAGAGAGAGAGAGAGAGAGAGAGAGAGAGAGAGAGAGAGAGAGAGAGAGAGAGAGAGAGAGAGAGAGAGAGAGAGAGAGAGAGAGTTATTTAAATCATAGCAAAAGTTTTAAATAATTAATCTGAAATTAATTAATTGTGTTCTACATTGTAAGTACAGAAAGAAAAAAAAGTTTTAAAAAACTTTCATTTACCAAACAGAACCCAGGCTTGAATAATTCTCTGAAAGGTTATAAAGTAAGTTGTTAAAGTGAAAAGCACAATGTTATACACTGCAGTTGACTATAATATCATCTAATCCAATAAGATGTAGAATGAAACCCCGTAGAGCCATTTCGACTATGAGACGCGCCAGGGCTGTGCGCGTTAACTGCTCTCCAGTCATTCATATGTATCAGCATGAGTGGAATATCCAATAAATTCAAATCATCTTTAAATGAACCGCACTGATCAGTGCCCGGTTTCGGAGGAAGTGTGATTATAAACTCAAACCCATGTGCATTTGGGATTGTCTGCGCAAAACTTGTACTGGATTCGACAGACTCTGCACCCGAGACCCATTTCCTACAGCCCACATTTTTCATTATCAGCTCATTACACTACAAACATTTGTTGTTGAGCGAACAACAAAGACATGCAAACAGAGCTTAAACAAGATCCGTCTAAAGATCGCAAATTAAACTAATTCCTAGATATGAACATCTTCTCACAGGCCTAACCCATATCCTGTCGGGAAAACAACAAACATCCTGGGTAGAAACGTGTGGCTGACACTCTAACCCAGAGCAAAGTTCATTTTTTTCCTTTTCGCAGCCACAGACATCTAGGGGTCTGGGTGTGCTTGAGAGAGCACAGTGTGAGATCCCTTCAAACCCCAACAGTACAAATAGGCCCTGACAGATTTGCTCTCCCTAATTCGTGGTAAGAAAAACAGCACAAGTATAAAAGAGATCTTCTATGTGCTTTGAATAAGCACAAACACACTCGCAACGAAAGGGGGAAAAAAAGCTTCCAACAATAGTCATTTCTAATGGAAGAAGAGAGTGGGTGAGACTGTTCCGTTTCAATTCACTGATACCGCTAATGGCTTCTTAGCGGTTCCATGAAATCAAGCAGCTGTCAAGGCGATGCATCGGGAACAGGGAGGAAGAGGCGGCATTCCCACAAGAGAAAAGCATCACGTCAGGATGTTTGGCTAAACATCTGCTCCCCTGCTCTCATGGCTTTAGCAGCAGCACATACTCAGACAAAGAGATGGGAGGTGGAAACACTGACTTCTCCATTTGAGGCATTCTGTAAAAACAACAGCCTGCTCCATGCATAATGACTAGGGCACTGGGCTAGATGAGACAGAGCCCTACTGATACAAAACAGACAGTCCAGCCATTTAACCAGCTTATGGCGAGCCTGAGGGTTTTGCATCGCTGACCGCTAATTGTAAAAAGTTCATGACATGCATAACAGAAACTTTTAAATATGTAACACTTGCTTTTTGAAGCTGAAGTGGACTGTTCATTCACAAACCACAACTAATTTATTGAGGTAAACTATCATTACTTCTTACACATTAGGAGGTCAAACTGTAAAGTAAAACTCTGTATGTGTGGAGGCTATATGTGCACAAATAAAACATAGCCTATAGGCTGTATACAAAAGTAGCTAGCTACATATGCATAAGCTCACTAGAACATAAGTCTTCTAAATTAGGAAATTATTGTACAGTGAGATCATAATTATAAGCCTCGTGAGCTATTCATGTGACAAACTCAAATATGTCCGATTTCCTAATTCAGAAAGGATCAAAATACGATTCAGGTCATTCGGGGAAAAATCTCTAAAATGAATGTGAAACCTGAGTTTACTGATTCATCATTTAGCCCTACAACATAGCCCATTCTTGTAACAAAATCCCCTAATGGAAATTCTGAAATTTCTAAACTGTGAGGTTCATTGTAAAACATCTCAATTTGAAACAAAGACAATAAACAGTTCATCTCACTAAATGACATCATTACATGCTGATGTCATTCATTCCACCTGTAAACACCGAATCATTAAACATCGCGTATAATTCTCAAGACCACATCAAATGTTTGCTTTTATTCACCCAGAGTCACTCATTCCAACACCAAAACTACACTAAAAACAGAGTTTTACAGCAATGTCAAGCGACGTAACAAATTCGACGCCTTCTGTGCAAAACATCACATTTTACTTAAACTTCACATGACGTCACCGCTACCACATAAGACATTTCTAAACTTTCTGCCTGTAACGACGTGCAGGTCGAGTCCTAAGATTACACAGATCCGCCAGTTAAAATTAACCAAGATGGCGTGAGGCTTGTTGTTTAGAGGGCAGAAAAATGGAGGATATTGTAATATACACAAAGGGATAAATTTCAACAACTCGGCCAGGCGGCAGCTGCTGCTCTTTAAGGAAGCAACAAAGATAAGAGCAACGCGAAGCTCCAACTCAACACCAGCGACCCACTCCGACTAAGCAGGCGATTTTCTCGTCGAAAACACACAACTATCTGTTTTAACGATTTATATCAAAAGGAATAGTAAAGTAAATGCTTTATAGTGTTGTTTAAATGAAGAGCTGTTAGCTTTTGCCATCATCTGAGAGACGGACATTAAACAGACCAAAGGTAGCTTCAGCTCCTCCAAGTGACTCTCCCGCATCGCCCTTTCGAAATAAGCCCTCTAAAATCAAATATAGCATTTTTACGTACCCAAATGAACGACGGGGAAGCGTTTGCTCCTTTGAAACATGTTTGGATACATTCAGGAGTGTTTACAAACAGTTTACATTTAAAAAACGTAACAGTTAAAGCGCACGCGAGGGGGCACAAAGGCAGATTCCTATTATGAAGTCACAACCCCCGCGCGCAACATTGTGTCCACTCGTAAAGTTTTGCTATATTCGCAGTCGTATCGGAATATTTCTCTCGATCGGCTCTTCTCGACAACGCCGTTGAAACGGTTTCGACAAGTTTTGCGCTTTTTACGCTGAAGGGACGCGCGTAGCCAACCTAAAGAAACTATCGAGTTAGCAACCCTCGCTAAGAGATCAAGCCAGCCAGCGACACAACATTGATTCTCCAATGAAATAACTGATCCAGCTCTCAATAAATTCAAAACTTACCCTTACTTTTGACACTTCGTGTAATTCCGTGTCGATCGGGTTCGAAGTATCACTTCAGGTAACGTTGCTCTTTGTTTTCCTTTTTCGATTTGCTTTTGGAAGAGGCCAGTGTAGCAGGAGATGATGAAGAAGGGAATTGGGCAGTAATTGAGTCTCGGTGTGAGTGAGTGAGTGACTGCGTGTGTTTGTGTGTGTGTGTTAGTTACGAACAGCAGATTGAAGGAGAGTCCTTTCAAGGTTTATTCTGCCTCACTTCAAGGAATCAAAGTGACGTCAGCGGACAATAATTAAACGATAAAACTTTTATTCGCTGCGAATAGGCAAAAGTATGTAAGTGTCCGAAATATGCACGTTGCGTCCCTGTATTTTCAGCATTGTTACTATTTTTAAAACATCTGTCAATGACATAGATCCGAAAACGCTGTAAGGCTGTTTTTTTAATGCTTTAGGTTGTCATCTTCATTTTTTTTTTTTTTTTTTTTACGATTTCAGAAGTGTTATCTGTTCATAGTGATTATTGGTATTGTTAATTGACTATATTTACATAATGGCTGAGCATTGTTTTGAATTTGCCTGGGGGGGGGGGATGTCATTTGTAATCAAGTTATATCATAATTTATCAAAATTGGCACATAGTGTGTAAAAGTTCAAAGCAGCACATGTTAATGAGATTGTGCTTTCAAATGAATTTGAAGACATTATAAGTACAATAGAAGTGGAAATCTGATAATATGGTGTCCAGTGAAATGGAAATTTAATTCTAAGATTGGTTACTTGTCATTCAAAAGCTGTCAGATAAACCGCAAGACAGCGACGCATGATCAAACTTGATTGCATTTGTCTCCAGTTACCTCAATAGCTAAATTCAGGGATTATGGATTAACCCAGCTAATCTGACCCTATTTCCCCTCAAATCATCAGGGGAGTGAGACAAGGTGATAACGTTCCGATTTGACAACAGAATTTCCGTAATCCAAAAGATAGTAGCATCGTATGAGCTGATGTCCTCTCGCGTTGAAAGGAGAGGAAAAAAAAGAGGATCTGCCCCCGTGACGCTCAGGAGGAACAGAAAATAAAAGGCAGAATAATTGGAACTGTTACTTTTAGGATGACGCTCATTGATCTCTCATTTGAATTACACTTGCGGGCAAAGCGAGAGGCGGCAGAATGGCCCTTTGCAGCGGGAGCCGAGCTGGGCACCACGAGGCAGACAGCCATCTGTGCCTAATTGTGTGCTTTTTCTCCCTGCCGCTGCACTCACAATCAGCAACAGGCTGAGGGGGGCCCTCTGACCTAGACTGGGACAGGGGGTGGCATGGGGTGAGGGATGAAGGGGGTGGGAGATTATTTCATTGAGCAAGAAAACAACAACAGGGGGGGGCAAGGAGGGACACGCTGCCACTCCTTAGTGGGAGAGGGACTAGAGAAGGAGGAGGAGGAGGAGGGGAGAGAGGGGCAACTCTTTTGGGAGTTTAGCTTCACGCTTCAGATTATGCCTGACTTGCGTGCGTTGAGGGTTTACTTAGAATGAGACGTTTACAGAAATCTCTTTTTAGCTGTAAAGCTGCTTTTCTCAATGAGAAGATTTATATCAAAACATATATGTGTAATCATATTAAGTTTAATGTATATTTATTTATTTAAATATTTTATTTATGTAATTATTTTAACCATTTGTGGTTTCTCTTTTTAGTATCTAGTAATAGGTGATAAACATGTTAATAAAAAAAAACAGTAGATAACAAACATGTTTACACACATAACATCTCCACACTCTGGTGAGTGTTGCAAACAGTCGGGTACATTTGAATAATTTAAGCTTACTCTGTATTTAGAAATTACTAGTCATGTAACTACAACTGGTGTGCTAATTCCGATTATAATTGGAGACCGTTTGTGACTTTATCGCTAAGTACCGCTGCTGCTGTCATTTTAATGTGCATGTAATGAAACTATACTTGAAATTGTTCAAAGGAGAGCCAGTCAGTGGGGTTTTTGAAAGCTTTAGCGAGTATAGAGGGGACACATTCGCTTACCGATTTATGCATGAGTTCATTGATCCTCTCTGACCCCCCTCCTCACCTGTAGAGATGAAGGTGGGTGAAAAGAGATGCTTATGGAGGGACACGGAGAGGCAGGCAGACCTCCAGGGATCAGTGCTCCGAAGAGTGGGAGGACAAGATGAGACGGTCGTGTGCAAAACGTGCATCTGAACATGTGTGTTTATCTGCGATCATCAGACCACCGCGACCACAATAAGAAAGCCATAATTGTGTGTATATGTGTGTGTGCACACATGATGGCAATATTCCTCCCTCTTGAGTGACTATGTGTATAACCTCCTCCCCTCTTCCAGCAGAGACACACCGGGGTTTGTAATTGTGTTGGTGGTTCTTCATTAGACCCTGTGTGTGTGTGTGTGTGTTGGGGGTTGGGACGTGGGTGGGTGGGTGAGGAGCTGAGGCTCTTAGGACTATGAGCTGCGTCATTAACGGAGGCTGGGCCTCTCTGCATGCAGCCAGAATGTCAGCCGTACCTCGGTCATTTGAAACATAATAAGCACAAGTACAATGAGTGCAATGCAAGCCTGCTGGGGGAGGGGGTAAGTGGAGGGAACACAGCCTGTCTCTTCCATTGGGCTGGGTTTTGTTTCTTAAGAGGCTTGATTAGAAGATATAATATCCTAGCGACTAATAACTGGTAAAGATGATCTCCCTCGAGACTGATGGAAACCAAATTAATGTGGCGATTTGGATTTAATTGTTATTTTTCTATTAGGGTGCATAAAGACAGAGGAGATGTCCATCTAGAGTGGGAGCTGTGCTTGCAGCTATTGATTTTTTTTTCTTTCTCCCTCTTTTCTTTCTCACCCCTCTCTCTTTCTCTCTCCAACACAGATTTTAATCATCTCAGAACACCACATTCCCTAATACCATTAACAACACTAACCTTCCAGCGCCACAAAAGCGTTTAATTTCCAATGACACAAATTTCTCTCCAAGAGACTCAAATAGTGTTTTTACGCAATTTGCTGGCCTTAAGGTTTTGCTCGCTGGAATAATTGAATTGCGATCCTCTCACTTAGTCTTGCATAAAATCACTAGGCAAAGAGCTAATCAGTGCAAAAGAGACAATAGTTTCCTCGGTTTGCCTTATTAGCCTGTTTTAAAAGAGCAAAGAGCATTTTTCTCCCGACTGACTTTGGAGCAACTGATGTAGCGTCGGAAACCGCGTCGGACTTACAATTAGAGTTGAACACCAATGCGACCAGAAATGTGTTCAAGCTGTTTGTTCCTCTGTCAGTGCTGCTGTTTGTATCCATAAATAAAAGATGACCTTTAAATGTTTACATAATTTATACAGCTATAAATTCTTAATATATCTGACTGCAAATGAGAGAGTGAGTCGCTTGATTATGGTTCATAGTAGAGTTAAAATACAGGTTGTATGGTGTGCTATACACTGACACACACCTGTATGTGAGTCAGCAAGGAAAACCATTTTTATATTTGACTGGGGCAGAGGCTATCTTCTCTACCTAATCAATGATTAAGCGTATATATATAGCTGTTTTATCTCTGGGGAAATGTTTAATTATATTTAAAAGATATAAAAGCGGTCATTTTGGCTTTAAATTAACATTATTCATATTACAATGCAGCTCAGCAGGTTACGGATTGTTACATCATTCATTACCAGGATATAAAATTAAACCCAAATAAAACGGAATTACTCGACTGTTAGCTGGCAAATTTATCAGGAACTGTAACATTACATAGTTTTATTTTACTGATCGGATAATAGTCTGTTAAGTGATTCAAATCAAACAAATACAAACTGTAAAGAAAACTCGCTTAATCAGAGTGTCTTTACTTTGGTGGAAAATTTATGTGGGGTTTACATGTGGCAAAACGTGGAATATTCCCTGCGTTAATCCACCAAAACAATAAATGTGATAAGAAAATCACTTTTGGGACAGGTGCAGTTGACAGCTGCAACACAATAGCCTGCGTGGTATAAGAAAAAAAAAACAAGCAAAATACAGTTTCAAGGTCATCCGAAAATACTTTCTCAAACGGCAATAAATTACATTTGCGCCCTGGTCATGACGCTTCAGTGTGTATAGCGATCATTATCATAATGGCTGCACATAAGCTGACCTTTGACCTATGGATGTAATGTTTCTGCAAAGGCACGAGAACAGATGCTTACCTATTTTTTTTTTTTTCTTCTGTTTACTGTAGGTGCATCATCTCTATGTGGAGAAAGTCTTGTTAATATGGCGGCGATGAGGTAAACAGATAGGAAGTGATGGAGTGGCAGACCCACGGGGGATAACCGCATGAGGTGTGACAGACCACTGACATCAGCCCTTGTTCTCTTGCTCGCTCGCTTACTCTCTCCATCTCTCTCTCCCGCACACACACTGATTTCCAGGAAGGGGTCATTAATGTGAGGAGGAAAAAAAAAAAACGAATCTAGTCATGGCTTTAAAATGGAGTATCTTCTCATAACGATGCAGTCATTCCTAACGGGTCTGAGTCTGGCTGCAGATCTCGCAGGAGAACAGCACAGCGAAGGTTTTAATTCCTCCATTTAAGAGACAAAATACATCATAGTTTAAAATTTTATTTGAGAGTAACTCCCTTAAGTGGCAGCAGAGTTCATCTTAACCTGGCCAATAAACTGATAAAAATGATCAGCTTTTCGTTCTCTACACACCAGCCCTCTATATAGAAATACAGCAGTGGTTCTAACATCCGTACAGTAGTTAAATGTTCACATTTAACAGTCGTAATTGACATTTTCCCTCGCTTCCTTCAGCAATGATATATCAAAGAGTGCATCAGCCGCCGGAGGAGGAGAGAAAACATTAGGAGGATTAATAAAGGGGGGAGGGAAATAGATTGAGCGTTCACCGAGATCAGTAAAATAGGATCTGTCAAGCAACCCTGCAACATCCATCCTTTGGAGAAAAAAAAGACAGAGGTACATTTTCATGGATGGAAGGAAGGAAAAACAGAGGCCAGCCTCTGCGGCTGATCAATTTCCCGAGATTAGCTTTCAGCGGCTGAGCCTGCTTCCATTTGTAAAGATAATATTATTTAATAACCCTTTTGGGTGACTATTTAAATGATCATACTGCCTACAGTGCGAGGCGCTAATGGAAATATTTAACATAAATTCCCTTTAAAAAAATGAGGCCTTAAACAACAGTTGTAAGAATTATTCTGAAATTAAAGGAGTGTGCATAAATGATTCTCCCTGGCCTTGACGTGCTGTTCTCAATTACATCCTGCTCAACTGGAACAATGGAACGATGCTAGCGTGCCGCTTTATCGCGCATATATATGCGCTGTTACGAATGTCATATGGAAGCTATTTACGGCCACTAGCATCGGTGCCAAGGGCATTGAAAACAGGGATGTTATTGAATCAATTCTGAATGTCCAAAAGAGCAGTACAATCAGGTAAAGCCCAGCTATATAGCTTGGCTTTTGTCGTGCGCTTTCAAAGACAGACATCTGAAGATCCAAAACGAAGGAAGAAAGAGACAAAGCTATAAGCATTCCTTAGTCTTACTCACGAGCAACTTCTCATTTCAAAACACCTTTCTGCGGACCTCCCCTTTCCTGTCTTGCTAACGTTAAATTGCATAATGCCAACTGAACGCTCGCATTTGTTCCCCCTTTCCCTTCTCAGGAAATCTATTTAAATTTTCACGCTAACTGTCAGTCCGCATCAAACCTTGATTTATGCAAAAACAACGTCTGCTTTAATTAGTCATTTCGGCTCAGTGCTGCCTGTGCTCTAGGCGCTGAGCGGGGTCAGGCATTCGGAGGAACCTCCTTTTTGAATGATCAAAACTAGGCCATCAGCAACACCGTGATAATAGCCATGTCTCAACACCACAGCAGCATGCGAGAGTGTGTGTTCGAGTGTGTTTTTATCCCCCATGAGCCGTCCATCTCCACTCAGCAGGGTGGTTTTGGGTGGAGCTCGGGTAATCACAGCCGTCACTGTACACCTGGAGGACTGGAAAATAATAAACAGCTAACAGGTAGTTTTTCCCGTCAGCTCTCTATACTTTCCCAGGCCGAGAAAGAGAGAGAGAGAGGGAGGGGGAAGGAGAAGGAGCAATGTTTACACAGCAATATTACATTAATCAAGACAAAATTATCTCGAATACACCACATTATGCTCTTGTACGGGATTAGCGTCCGTGATCTTCAAAACGAAAGTAAACTACACCATGTGTTTTTGGTCGTTTTGGATTGCAACACTTCTTGATTACCACAATCGCAATCACGTAGAGCAAACAAAAGTGGCTGAAAGCTTGTGCTAATTTCACAGACTGACATTTCAGATGAAAAATTCACCAGACAGATGCTCAGAAGAGAGCAATTCTCTTGTCAGATGTTGGGGAAGTGCATGTGAGATGTGAGTAACGACAGTCACATGAATGGGAGGGCAGACAAACTTATTCTCACCACCAATTCTATTTTGGGGTCTGTGTGCTGCTTTGCTGACTGAAGTGGCATTGTGTCCTTTGTGAAAGCATGACCCTCTGAGGTGCGTTCATTTGCTGTGAACCTCGGCCAGGAAAAAAGCAGGAGGCTGGAGACCAGGGGAAGGCGTGGGAAAGCGACTAGAGAACGAGCGAACGGTGGAAAAGCCGAGCGATCTGCAGGCATTCCTTTGTGATTACACATCTGTGGAGAAGGAGGCCAGACATTCTTTCAGCCAGTGTCTGAAGCTGCTGACTTCTGCCCTCGATCTCTGCGCTGTTGTTTTTTTTCTTATCTGTAAAAAAAAAAAAAAAAGAAACTCAGCTGTGAACGTTTTATTTGGTGACTGGAGACTGTGTTTCCTAATACAGAAGCATGACGCTCGCTGAATCAGCCCCTTTCAACTTTGTACTCTGATTTAAAGTCTCAAAACTCAACCTTGTGTCCTTGTTCTTGCAATGAGATACGAGATTTCAGTGCTGAGCACTCATGTTCAGCACTTCCTTCCTCTTTTGCAAACATAAACCTCAGAACCCTTCCTTAATCCAGTCATCCACTGGTGGGAGGCCGAACATGACAGCAGACGGACAAGGCAAACACTGGTGGGGGTGGTGCTTGTGTTCCTTCTTTGTTCTGATGCTGACCTCTTCATTAAAGGGCCTTTGTCACCATGTAAGGATTAAGAGTGAAAGAGAGCTCTTCTTCTGCTAGTCAGGGTTAAAGTCTGTCTCCTAATAAAATGCTCTTCCATATGTGCACATCAATGCAATGTGGCAGTGATCTTTTATAACATTTGCTTGAAGGATTTCAAAGATGTTTCCTCTCATCCTACTCTTTTAAAAACAGATTTAAGCCAGACAGTGGCGGAGTTTTGTAAAGTAAACCAGTTATTAAATAAAGTAGTTCTTAAGTAACTTATCTCTGGCCATGATCAATGACCCAATTATAAAGAATTAATTTAATATTCTCAAGAAATAAAGTCTAAGGCCTGCTGTTTAATTCATTTAACTGTTCAATCAAAAAATGAATGCAATTGAAAACGCATTTCGTATCAGCTATCAGTCTTCCTATGCTAAGAAATTGATTTTTTTCTAAGCTTGCGTGCATTATGACAAATTGTTTGCCTCGGTTAGTAAAATATATGAATATAGCTGTATTTTAAGACTTTGTAACTTGTAAAGCAACATATTTGTTTGCATTGTTCATTATTCTCTTATTATCACACTTTGCTATATTTTTAATTACCACAGTGACAGGATAAATGCCATGTGGCTGTGAGTAAACACAAGTGAAGCAGTGCAGTCATTACTGTATCAGATGCACGATACCGCCCTCTACTGGACAGGCAAACAAATAGCCGAAGATGAAGCTATAAAAACATCAATAAATCTTTTACAAATGCCACTTTGTTAATTTTCGTGTTTTATTTATTGGATTTATTTTTTTACTTTTATTTACTCTGAATGACACTTGACAAAGTACCAGCATTTATTAGAATTTATTTCACATTACTGGCTTTGTATTCCACCTGCATTTTTAAGTTTTACAACATAACTATTTTCATTATTCAATGAACTACATTATATAACACTATGACTAACAACTAACAGAAAAGAGGGGGAAAAAGACAAAACCCCAAGAGGAAATACACAATTACACATATAGACAAAATTCTGAATAGAATATATAAATAGTAATTAAAATAATCACAACATTTTTAAAGTCTTGATGTTTTTTTATTCAAGGAGTCAATTTACACCCTGGATTCACTCTGTAAGATCTTAAGTTGTGTTTTCTATTAGAAATGTACTTATATATACATATAGTGCAGTAAATATGTATACTTTTATACATGCAGTGTAACAAAAACTATATGTAATTAATTTTAAATAGATATAATACTTAAATTAACTTAAAAAAATATTTTTGCGTACATAAATGATTTTAAAAAGATCAAGATGAAATATATATATATATATACATATATAAACAGTTCTTCAATCCCCATTGCAGATTAGGTTTATTGGTAAACTTTACAGACTTTCAGCTGTTTGCAATAAATAAATCAAACAAAAGTAATTGAAATAATTCAACACAACAAATGTTTCAAGTGGTTTCCCCAAATTCAACTAAAAAAATGCAACTTTTAATGATTTTAAAAATTATTCAACCCCCTGAATAGAATCCCTCACAAGAGCACAAATCTGCAAAACAGGTTTTTTGTCTCAAGCAAGCACACCTGATGCAACTAATCAAGGGCTTCATTAGTTGCACCAGGTGTGCTTGAGCTAGAACACATTAAATACCTGAACTGGCTAGGTTTGTTGAGTGTCACATTCGACTGCATGTTAGACATATGGCTAAGTCAAAAGAATGGTCCAAAAGGTTAAGAGAAGATATCATCGCCCTTCCCAAACAAGGAACAGGATACAAAAAGTGTGAAGGAGTAGGAATAGTGAAGGAACTAAATGTTCCTAGAGACACCGTTGGAGGCATAGTTCGCAAGTTAAAAGTTAAAAGAACGGTGGTACACTTGACGGGGAAGAGAAAGGAAGCTATCAATGGCTGCAACCAGATCACTGAGAACGCAGGTTCAGAAAAACCCTCGAGTGATTGCAAAAGATCTGCAGCAAGACTTGGTGGCAACAGGCACTGAGGTTTCAGCATGCACAGAAAGGCGCGTACTAAACACATGTGGTTTCTGCCTTGTCTATATACCCACACTTGCGGTCTTGGCCACTTGAGAGCGCGTGCACGTGACAGGAAGTAAGTGCGCAAGACTGTCCCATGTCTTAAAAATGCCAAAGTGCAGTGCAATACACACTAAACTCTAAAACATATACCATCAAGCATTATGTTCGGGAACTCATGTGCCCCGAAATCGCGAGATGTCGAGGAAAACATTCCACTGTAATTTAAATTAATTAGATACATATAATTTGGTAGTAAAAACATAAAGTGTTGCACATTTTATTGGTGCAAAGATGAGTATGGCCTATTTTGTACAACATTTGCAACTGTTTTTATCACTTAATTAGAAGCACCACAATTTTAAATTTGTGTCTTCTGTTACATAGCGACTACTGAACAGACATGTAGAAGTTTATTTTAAAATGCAAAGTTTTGAAAATATGATAAATGAAAGTTCTGTAAACACTTGCATTTTTTTTTTGCAAGACTATAAGTGTGTCCCACCGAGTAATCAAAAGTTCTACACACATTTGCAGTCTTTACGGCTACTTGAACACTTGGGCCAAATAGAGGAAATACGTCATGCAAGTAGACAAGTGGTCAAGTGTGGGTATTTGGACAAGGCATTCCATGCTAGAACTCAACTACTGACCCAAAAGCACAAGTAAAGGCAGCTTACGCACATGGGCCCAATTTCGCAAACATTTTGGTCACATACATTCTTTGGTGTCTATGCCTCTATCCTCAAACTTTCTTTTTAAGCCATCGCTTATACGGCCTTTCTCACCTGGGCTAGAAAAGGCATAAACCGTGTGGGAGATCTTTTTGTAGATGGCACGTTCGTTTCTTTTGATTATTTGGTTAATGAATTAAGTTTACCAAAAACACAATTTTTTAGGTATCTTCAGGTCCGGGATTTTGTCCGTTCCCAGTTTCGCTCATTCCCCCTTAAAACTTATTAAAACCAAATATCGGCCCTCTTGATCATTGTCTGACGGTCAAGCCCCATCTCTCGGGTGGTGTCTCCCATGCTGTATACTGCTATCCAGGACATGAAATGGCCATCTCTTCTGTCTCTTAAGGTACAGTGGGAGGAGGATCTAAATACAGAATTGACGGACGAAATTTGGCAAAGAGCTATACATAAAATATACACATCGTCTATCTGTGTTATGCACAGGTTGATACAATTCAAAGTATTTAATCGCCTGCACTTCTCTAGGACCAAATTGGCCAAAATATATCCTGATGTGGATCCCAATACACGTTGCCACCAAGGCCCTGCTTCTCTGGCTCACATGTTCTGGTCATGCCCAAGCATAGGCACATTCTGGTCGGAGATATTTAATACATTCACCTACATTTGTAAAAAGAATATCGATCCAGATCCTATCATTGCAATATTTGGGGTGGTACATAGTAAAGTTGGGGTTTCAAGAGGCCAATCTCAATTAATAGCATTCTTTACACTGTTAGCCCACCGACTAATTCTTACCAATTGGAAATCTTCCTCACCCCCAAAACACTCACGTTGGGTGTGCGAAACTATGTCCTTCCTCCAGCTTGAAAAGTTAAAAACTACAGTCCAAAACTCAGCAGAAAGGTTTCAGAATTATGGCAACCTTTCTTGGACTATTATGAAAATGCATTTGATGCTAATTCTTTAGATTAAAAATGTATGCTCTCGTCTCCCCTTCTCTCCCCCTTTTCTCTTTTCTTCTTTTTTTTTGTGTGTTCTGTGTGCATTCTCAGTATTTGTACGAACCTTGGATGCCAATCTGCGATGAAAGGGGATATGTGAGATAATGTATATAAAGTATGAGGTTTGTGGATGGGGATGCCTTGTATGACATAAGAGAATGTATGTTGGTTTGTTTGTCTTATGTACATTTAAAACAATAAAAACACTTTGAAATAAAAACAAGTAAAGGCAGCTCCAATTTGCTCAAAATCATTTAAATAAGCCACAGAAGTTTTGGGATTCTGTTCTGTGGAGCGATGAAATAAAACTGGAACTTTTCGGCCCTATGGATGTCTGCAGGAAGAAGAATGAAGCATATGCTGAAGAGAAGACTAAGCATGTTGGTGGCTCGGTGATGCTCTGGCACTGGATACCTGCAGTGTGTGGAAAGCAAGATGGATTCATAGAAGTATCAGGAAATCCTAGGAGAGAACATCATGCCGTCAGTGAGGAAGCTGAGGCTTGGGCATCATTGGACCTTCCAACAGGAAAATAATCCCAATCATATACCTCAAATTCCACAAAGGCTTGGTTGGAGAAGTCCTGGAAGATTCTAGCGTGGCCATCAGTCACCTGACTTGAACCCTATAGAAAATCTCTGGTGGGATTTGAAGAAGGCGGTTGCAGCACGCAAACCCAAGAGTATTACTGAACTGGAGGCCATTGCTCATGAGGAATGGGCTAATATTCCTCAGAAACGCTGCCAGACGCTTGTGTCTGGTTATACATCTCGTTTGCAGCAGGTCATAACAGCAAAAGGGTGTTCTACTAAGTACTAAAGATGCTTGCCATAAGTTTGAGACATGCAGAAGTCATTAAAAGTTGCATTTTCAGGTGAATTTGGGTAACCACATTTGTTGTGTTGAGCTATTTCAATTACTTTTGTTTGATTTGTTCATTGCAAACAGCTGTAAGTCTGTACATTTTGTCAATAAACCTGATATGCTTGAATTATTTTGATTGCAACTGTATATATGTATGATATAAATGTTGATGTTGATAACAACAACAACACACACACACTTTATCTTTTTAAAATCATTTATGTACCCTATACATTTTTCACCAACAAGAGTCTTGAATACTAAATGTGCTTATTAATAGGCCTACTTTTCTGTCTTTTGCACCAAATTAACAGAGTGGACAAAAATGTGCAAAATAAATGTAAACCAGCTTCAGGGAAATGTTTAGAGTAGACTACACAATGATTTCATTTAGCCAGTACATTCTTTCAGTGGCCGCAAATACTGCCTTGCTGCATATCAATGGAAATGTCAAAAATTATGTTGGATTTTACAACCTAACACACAGTGGCGGTTCTAGAGGGGGGGCCAGGGGGGCCCGTGCCCCTGTGACAAAAAGCTTGGCCCCCCTTGTGGCCCCCCTAAATGTGGAGTTTGAAATAATTTTTACAAAACTGTTTTTTGCTATCGTTGTTATCGTTGTATGCGTATTATTTTTTATTATTCTATCTTTGTGGATTTGCATTTTCACGTGACAATTCACATCACATTCCCGGGAATCGCGGCAGAATAACGTCTGTCTCCTGCACGCGAGAGAGGAGAGAAGGAGAAAGCTGGTAAATGTCAGTTCAGTTGTAAGTTCATTCTTTATGTGCGAATGGGGTGATGTGTAGCCTATTGTCTATTATGATATTGTAATCATTGTTTTAACTATGTACGAGGCACTGTGAGGTGACATCGCATTTGTCTATCGTCCTTTCACTGCTGTGTGCAGTTCATAGGTAGAGCTGTCCCCAAATTAGTTTTTGTCTTATATTAATTTATATCATATTATGTTCTTATATTAGAATATCACATCAGCAAGAGTGCAGTTTTCCCGTGCACAATTGCAACTGTGATATTTATGTTATACAACAGTTAAATTAACAATAAGTTAACATTGGGAGAACTTTTTAGACACAATATTGTCAATATTGTTTGTTTTCCCTTTATTTCGCCGACTAGAATTTCATAATGAAACCGTAGCAGAGTCTCAATGCAACACAGCGATGATTTATTGACTAGTCTGAAATCCGCGTTTTGAACGAATCACTTGCTTCTTTCCCGAATGAATCAGCCGTTTGAACAAATCGGTTGAATGAATGAATCCCTCTTACAGGTAGGCCTACTTGCCGCCGCCTACTGGCGGTTTTAGTTTCATATTTAAAGTATCCTTTAATTAAAACGTTAAAATTAGAAATCATTTCATATTTAAATATTGATTTAAAAAAAATCTCATAGCTTTATTTATGCTATTGTAAATGGAGTGTAAATATATTAATGCCACTTCTGTGTCACCTCTGCACTGCAAAGATGGATTTTGATTGAATTAATTAATTTGACTGGTAGCAGTGGTACTGTATAATTATTGTATAATTAAGTATTATTGTATAAATAAGTATAATTATTGTATAATTTGAATGTTAGTATTTGACATAAAAGGTGATGCATAACTCTAAATAAGTTTAGAAAAAATGTCCATATATAGGTGAAAATGCCCCTGGAAATCAATTTAAGGTGGGAAATATTGCCCCTTATTTAAAAAAATGTATTTCTGTCACTGCTGTGAACTGACCATATAATATGAAAAATATGAATATCTTCGTGAGTCAGCTGTCAGCAACAGGCCTAAACCAGCCATGGCACCAGCACAAAAACACAATCAGTAAAATATCATCTAATTATTATCAACAAAACGTTGAAAATATTGAAATATATTTTTGTCAATATTGCACACCCCTAATGTACGGTATTAATTTTGATTTCTTTAGGTCTTAAAAAGCCTTAAATTTGACTTTAAAAAGTGTGCAGGAACCCTGTAAACGGTTAGACGTAGTTACCTAGAAAGTCAGTTATTTTCAGTAAATGAATTAATAAGCTTCTTGGTCCCCATTGCTTTTGCTCTATAGTTCTCAAAATGAAGAGAAAGAAGGACATCATATCTATTACAGTTACTGTGACTAATACTGAATATGTAATGCAAATGTAAAAATATAATGGAAATGCAAATACATTGTTGAATGATTATAAACACGGTATTTTGCCTGTGAATGCCTGCAGTAGTGCAGAAAATGATAGGACAACAATAAGGTCTAAATGTAACTGGCCCCTCTAACAGTACAACTGGCCCCAGCTTGGCCCCCCCAGTTGAAATGGGCTAGAACCGCCACTGCTAACACATCATTTTGTTGTTATAGTTTACAGGCATCTTTACAGACATCTTGTCAATGCACAAGGGAAAGAGGGCGGGGCGTATTTCGCTACGCTGCCGGTCACTTGCTAGTGCGGCTGTCAATCAGCCTCCGCGAGCGACGATACGCGTTTCCTGCGGGTGTCCGCTTACACTTTAAACCACGTGACCCTCCCTATATCAACACACGGACGCCATTAATAATAAAGGCAGAGAGACGGAAAATCAGAGGTGAGTTCACACGGAAGTGATGCCATCTGGAGCATTTTAACACGATGAGATTTGGTACGCTTTAACGGGTCGCGTTTGGTAAGTGGTAATGTAAACGCTTACGGATTAATTGCATTCGTTTACCCAACGAGGTTTATTCTTGTTGTATTTACGAAGTGTCCCGGTTAACAAAAACAAGGCCTAGACATCTGGCAGACTGCTGGGTTATTAATGCGACTGACTCCTGGGATCACATGCGTAGTTTAACGGGTCAGTTGTGCATGTCACGAACATGTCCTGTGTTGAACGCGTTGGGTTAAATCAGTGATTTATTGGGAGCAAAAGCTTTTGTACAGGATAAATACTCCGTGTTTACCTCCTTTGTGAGCCATTTTTCTTTTAATGTATTTGTAACCCGAGAGCTGTGCTGAGCTAATGCAAATCCCTGACATCTCGCCAGTTTGATATGCTATGCATCAGCTGTGGTTTACAATCATAATCCTGCTGTTTGTCCTGTCAAGTTCAAACAAGAGCACCAAACTGGAATTGAACGAAAGACATTTTGAGAGGTCAATTTTTATAAACCACCATTTTGATCTAAAGTATCATTCATTAGTCAAATTTGCACTTGTTGACACTTAAAATATTGCTGATGCACATCCTTGAAATCTGGAAAGAACATATGTGATAGGAAACTACATTTAGGAACCTCAAAAGAGAGAAATGCATGTAAGCATTAACTTAAATGTCTCTTAATTTTATAGGTGTACTATTTAGTGTTATTTTGTTGAGGGTACAAGCCTGGGTTTAGTTTAACAAAATGTTCATGCACAGGTTGCATAATAGGTGAACAAAGCCAGAGGGTTTAACACACGGGCGTTTAACTTCTTGTTGTGTCTTCTGTTACATACACGCCCTGATGTTAATGTTTTTCTCGTTGTTCTTTTCATTTACTTTAGCACTAAGATGGCTTTTGCAAATGTGAAGTTGGGATGTCGATCTATGAAAATGTACCCCACACATGCATAGATGCTTTTTAAATAAAAAGTACCCCCTACCTCCCCCCCCATTTAAAATAGGCATTTTTAGTTCCTTGTATGGTTTTCTTTCTTCTGTCAAACACAAAAGGAGAAGTTTACCAGACTGTCTTCTCATTTCCACACAATGAAAGTAAAGAAAGAAAGACTACAGTAATTTTCAGCCTTTTTCTCAAACAAAGCTGTCGTATGGCTTCAGAATACAACATAGTGCAGATTATGGTGTTTGTTTTTTACATGTTGTATGGAAAAGAGCAGAACAGACATTCAGAAGAAAGTCTTAAATGATGCAATAACTGCATCATATCAATCTAAATGGCTTGGTGCAGTAAGTGTTTCTACTACAACATTCTGGATCTAAATGAGTAGCCTATATTTCAAGTACTGGTTTTGGCCTGTAATATTCCCTGTCTAACTTGCTCTTTTTCTGCATGACACCTGACTGAAGCAGTGCTTTCATGCCTTCAGGTTAAGTTTAGCAGCGTTCTCACTTGGCAAATGTGATTTGGAAAAAGCTTGACATACAGCAGAGAGCTTTCATTGCAGGAAGGTGCTATTTTGATACTCAACTGTAGAGAAGAGGGTATTTATAGATGGCTTGATGAAGGGTGCAGTAGGAAGGGGTTTAAAAAGTGTTATGATGACTGGTAGAGGTGCTCCATACTCCCTGTGCATTTAAGGAAGACAACCGGGTTACTGATTATTGGTAAAGTCAGGTATGTGTGATGAAACTCTGGGCCAGTGAACTGATTACCTGTGTGGTTTTGATAGCAGTAAAAACATTCTTCAGGTTAGCCATTTTCACTCATACTTCAAGACTTTTGGATGAACTAATCCTTCAAGTACTATGTTTACTCTCCCTCATGTTGTTCCAAACCCATGTGACTGAATTTGTTTCACGATACATGAAAGGATAACTTTAATGTGCTATATGCATGTGCGTGCCGTTGATCAATCTGTATACGGTATGCAATAAACAACGGCGGACTAAAAAAACAACTGCAGGAAAACTGCAGACTTGGCAACACTGGTCTTAAATGAATTAGAAATAAATTGCTTTTGCACCAATATAATTGGATCCATGCAGCTCATAAAGTGACAGCAGACTAATATTCTTGCTGTGTTGCTGTCTGTGTTTTTAATGTTAATCAAACACAACAAAAGACAAAAATGAGACTTGACACAATAACTTTTGTAACTTTAAGGATTTGCCTAATATATATTTCATTTATACACTGAAGAATATGACCTGTAATTTTACATTTGATTACTTTCTGTACCTGAAAACTACTGTTAGACCTTGCTGAAAAGCACTGTTTGTTTTATATGTATCTTTGTTCTGTTGTATTTATGTTGGCCTGTTGAATGTTAAATAGATCCAATTCATGTTCAGTAGAATTTTTTGATGCACCAATAAACCTGCTAGTATACCTTAATGCATGTGTTTTTGAACTTGAAAACATAATTAAAACACTAATCTATTTTAATGACAGAAGTACAAATAAGAGAGCAAGTGACAAATGTTGGAATCGGCCAATATTTAATTGCTAAAATCGCTATCGTATTGACCAAAAAAGATCCTATCGGGTGATCCCTATTAAAAATATCTTTGTGTTCCAAAAATGAACTAAGTCTAATGGGTTTTAGAACATCACATATTAACAATGTGCTGGTTGTTCTTTACTATGTAATTACAATGAGTCGGAAGCAGTCAAGAAAGTAAGTCACAAGTTGGAGCAATGCGATTTTGAGTACGACAACAATTCCTTTAAAATCATCATACTACTGGAAGCAACTTGTAATGGAAGTACATGACAAAAGACATGCCTAAAATGTATCATTACCAATCCTGTTTTTAAATATAATTTAGCGGTGACTGCTGTCATAGGTATGCGGCTGTAACGTATGTGTGTGTCTGTCTCTCAGGGTACAGTTCAGAGATGGATTCGAAGTCTCGTCGTTTTCCGTTTGCTGTCTCCAGCTCTTCCTCGCTGTCATCACCCTCCTCCTTGTCCTCTTCATCTTCAGCGCTCAGTGCGAGTCGGCTCTATGGCAGAGGGAGCGTCTTGGGAAGAGATCGCTTCAGCAGGGAAGCTTCTGTCAAGTTAGACTCAGATTATCAGGTATTAGTCACACATTAATTTCCGTAATGTCTGTTCACACCCACAGCAGTGTAGCTTAAGTCTCTTTCACTAGATCACTAACGTCACCTCCTCTTGCTGAACCAGTCACCCAGAAATCCATATGTTATTCCTGTTTAGCCCAGTGTAGTTAAAGGAGTGTTACAGGTTTCGTAGTTCTATTGACAGCATCTGTGATATGATATTGGTTGCCACAGAAAATAGCTTTGACTTTTCCTTTAGATTAAATGAAAGTCTATGGGGGCAATATGTTTCATAAGTTGATTATCCCTCAGTGACCCAAAGCAATGATATTCATGTAATAAATATTCACTCTTTAAAAAAAAAAAAAAGTTGCAAAATGCCACACTGGTGCGATCAGGGTTGATAAAATGTTACCACATTTGTTTGATAAAGTATGTGAAAGTTTTATATTCATAACTTGGTTCGTCCCAGTACCAGTACTCGTGAACCAGTGAGGATACAGTCATGAAAAGTTAAGAAATTTCACTGTACACAGCTTTTAAATACTGCATTATTCATGAAACAAAACTGTATAAAAAACAAAAAACAATTCGACAATGACGAAATGGCTCAGAAAACTGAGAATTGTGTACCAATTATTGATTAGGATCCATTGTATGAGAACAATAGAAAAAAAGTTTGACCCGTAAAGGGTAAGTTCATCCAAAAATGAATCACCCTCATGTCGTTCCAAACCTGTAAAACCTTCGTTCATCTTCGGAACACAAATTAAGATATTTTGATGAAATCTGTGAGCTTTCAGTCCCTCCATTGGGAGCAACGCAATTTACACATTCAAGGTCCAGAACGATAGGAAAGACATCATTAAAATCCATGTGACTCCAGTGGTTTAACCTCAATTTTATGAAGTGACACGAGTGCTTTGTTTGCACAAAAAAACAACAACATAATTTTCCACTTTATTTACGACATTATTGACCTTCAATCCAGTAGGGGGAGAACCACGACGGATGCATGTTGTCTTTACTCAAGACAGGAAGTTTTTCCTTGAATGCACTTTGGATAATATTATTTTGTAAATATAGGTCTTTTTTTCGCAAACAAAGCACATGCGTCGCTTCATAAAATTGAGGTTAAACCACCAGAGTCACATTAATTACTTTAAAGGTACAATATGTAAGAATTTTGTATCAACATATCCAAAAACCACTTGCACACTGTTATATATTTCTTTCAATTGTGTACTTCCGTTATCCTAAATGTTTCCAAGAATTTGTAAATCAAGAGAAATTCACAATTTTAAAAAGTGCCCGTCCCTGTTCACTTGTCGCCTGTCAATGACTTTGGGACAAAAGAAGAACTAAAATGAGGATCAATATCCGCGTGGCGTTTTCGAGAGCTCCACGTACGTGACTAACTTGGACTTGACAGAGCTTCACGAGTCACGACTTGACAGGGACGCCGCTCTTGCATGTACTTTATTAGACAGGTGAGCAAATGTACATAAAACAGATCAATGTTATATAGCTCAACATGATGACATGTTAGAATGTGATCAGTATGTTATTCTAATGTTGATCTAGCTTACTGCTAGTCTCATACAGCAAACAAACTAACACAGAATAACATTATAACTTTCAAATGCTGTTTAGTGTGACGTTAGACCAAATGAAACAGCGCTGAGTTACCTCAAGTTTAATTCGTCAAAAAAACTGACCTGTGTGAGTAGTAATTCAGCACTTGCGGGTAGTTCGGTAGAATTAAATGTCCTTATTCCTTTAAATCCGCGGGACTCGCGGCGCTGATATCTATCTCTTATTAGCAATCGCGACCTGCTTCGCACCACAGTCACGTTAAAAAACATGAATGTTTTCACTCATCCATAAACATTACGTTATTAGATCCATCAGCATGACAGCAAGTCCCATCATTCTGCTTATCACTGCGTCTTCAACCTATGCCTTTCTTATTGTAAGAGGTTAGCTACCCCTAGGGATGGAAAAAAATTACACATAGTAGCTTTAATGATGTAATTAATGACAGAATTTTCATTTTTGGGTGAACAAACCCTTTAATGCCCAGCACTGCATTTTTGCCGTGCTTAAAAAAAAAAAAAAAATCAAATTACGTACAAAGTTTCAGGGCATGTAAGCCTTTTAACATAACTAGACGTATACAAATAAAAGTGTTTTTTTCCCCCCAAAAGTTAGACATCTAATACTTTGTAAATGGATACATTTGTTCAAAAGTGTTTAAAAAAATTGTACACAATCTGTTGTTATACTTTTCAGAGCATCAGCTACTGTTTTATGTAGTGTTATTGGGTAATTAATTGCTTTATACAATATATAGCTAAATATTAACCTAAGGTTCTAGAAGAGGCACTATGGCGATCGGTGTGCTAACTCTATTAGCATCTAATTTTCCTCATGCTGCTGGGGCTGTGGAAAGATCTTCGTGTAACACTGCCTTGGTTCACTGGGCTTTTTTTAGTGCACACTAGATTCCTGGCCCCGGTGTATCTCATGAACCTGTCAAGGTCTGTCGTGCTAGATACAGTTACTGAAGCTCCCAGAGTTGTTTTTGAGACTCCAGAGTGTTTTTTTTTTTTTTTTTGGAAAATCACATCTTAGAACTTGGCTACATCACTACATTAGCCAGCATTGAAATGGACATTAAACAAAATTGGCCACCATCAGCTCGTCCATATATAGTTTGCCACTGGGGATTTCTCGTCATAACAAAGCAGCAAACCACCCATATGCTTGAGGAAGGAAACTATTTGCAGAGGCTTTGTGGTTGGGTGTTTTAGTCTGAATCTTGGCCCATACTTCTCTTTTATGATGTAGAATAAACAGTAGTTGAATGAGGCAATAATCGTTTAGTCTCTTCCTGTCACGTTTATGTTCTGACGTCCATGTGTTGTGTGTTCATTTCTCATGTTTCCTGTGTGTTCCAGAGCTCCCGTCTGCTGAGCTCGCCAAGAGGTTACAGTTCAACTGAAAGCCGTCACTCCAACTGGAAGCTCTCTACTCCCATCTCCCTTTCCTCCTCTTCCTCTTCTTCATCTGTCCATGATCGGTCATGGACCGAATCCACCAGTGGGGAGAGAGGCAGACTTGTAAATATTTTGCATATATGTTTTTGTCAAAATGTAACGTATGCATGCACTCACACACATAATTATATTTGATCTATTTTATATAATATGCTTTTTAATAACTAAATTATTATTAACTTAAAACTTGAATTATATTATAAACTGTCTGTTTATTATTATGATTATTATTACTATTAGTAGCTTTAGAATTTTTTGTTAAATGAAAAAGGGTTTTTAGGATAAATTTTAACTGGGTGTTTTCAATTCTGACATTTTTTTGCTTCAAGTCTGACTTGTTTTTTTTCTTTTGTTTTTCTTCGTTTTGTCTCCCTCCCTTATTTTAATAGTTGTGGTGTTTTGAACCATGAGAAAGTGTCTAAAACTTGTGCATAGCTATATGACTGGTTGTCTGAAGTTCTTTTAGTTTCATAGTGGCAAAATATGTGCATTAAATATGAAATTTAATGCTGTTATAATGAAAAAGTCATTGAGTATTGACCGGTGTCTGATATGGGCCACATTTGTATGTAAACAACTTTACCAAAATATCAAATTTAAGCAGAATTTGGCTCTTTTGCGACCTGAATTTGACATCTGACTGTGTTTGTGCATTTGCGTTTCAGACAGACTCTGAGAGAAGACTGGGAACCTACTGTGGACTTCTTGGCAAATCCCAAGACACAGAGTCTAAAAGAGCAAAACTTTCTTACACAAATAGAGCAGGAAATTCCAGATCCCCATCCACATCTAAACCTACCAACCTAGCCAACTCCTACTCTACTTTAGGACGTATGTCACAGTAAAAACGTATTTGTAAACATTTTAAATGTGTCTTAAGTGTCCAAATACTACTATAGTTAATATTAAGCATCTTTTCAGTGTATGGATATATGGTGTATTAACACATTGCTCTTGTCTTTAGATTCTTCGTGGAAAACCACCATTAGTCCTTTGTCTAGATCCTCCTCCTCCTCATCTTCTTCGTCCATTCCATCAGAGGGTCCTTGGGCCCGCAGGGATTGGGAGAAGAGGGGGGATTTAGGACTGACCTCACTGGGGGAGTCTAGTTATCGGCCTAGTGGACTGACATCTTCATTGTGTATGTGCACACACATACTCGGTTACAGTTTATACAGACACATTCATTCACTACCACTCTAGTCCACTCCTTTTTCTATAGTGTTTTTTTCCTCTAAGTGGTTCTAGGCATAATTGGATGACTTTAAAGTTTTCATCCATGTATATGCATTTTGGGATATTGCCCAAAAATTCTGGATGAAAACATTGAATGCAGATAATTTCAAAAAGCTTGCTTTAGTTTTTATAAATGTATCATTTTTATTTTACATTGTAATGTGTACTATTAAGTTGTGTTATATACAGTACTGTGAAAAGAATTTTTTTTTGAAAAATATCATGGTACCAAATATAGGTTCTCAAATGTTGCTCTGGTCATCTGTCTATTTCTGTTTTGCACCACAAGTCGTGTTCTTTTGAACATATGGGATTAAAACACAGCTTTACTTCCAATTAATTTGAGGATTTTATATTTTTGATATCTTGAATATCTTGCCATTTCTTCTTACATTTTATGCCCTCATTATTATAATGTATAAGGTTGTAGCCCATCAAGGTAACTATACGTTTCTTTTTGTGCTTTAGACCGTTCAGAGCGTGTTACATCCACCTATGCACAAGGTGCTCGACCCAAAGAGAGCCAGTACTCATCCTACAGAGAGAACAGTTCATCTAGTCGCCGTATCCAAAACGAGTACCTCCCCTCTCCTCTGGAGCGCAGCTCCCACAGGCTGACCACAGATTACAAGTCTGGTCCGTTCTCTCGCGATACACCACGCACTAGCTCTACCAGAACCTCCACCTCTGTGTCGGACTCATCCCACCTCTCATCCTGGAGCTCCACCCCTTACACACCCCTTACTGGCTGTAGCTCCAGCCCACCTTCATCTAGCCCCACTCCACTTCCTGCTCAGAATGGCGGCGACTCAGACGGCAGGCGAACAACCAGACGCCTGCTATCTCGCCTTTTCTCCCGACGCTCCAGTCAGGAGTCAAACTCCACCGCCAGCTCTGCCTCTGATTCAAGGTCATTTGACTCTAGCCCAGATGAAGCCCTGCCCTCTGAAGCCCCCCCTCCAGTCAGTAGAGAAAATTTGGAAGCAGAGCTGAGGAATTCCGACCCCGTTCAGGCGTTTTCGTTCTTGCGCAGACGCGGACCATCTCTCGCTCCCGTCAGGGAGAGCGCTGATGTAGGGCCCGAACAGGAATCGCTCAGGCCTCAAGCGGGACTGTCCTGGCTGAACTGGAACCGCTGTACCCCACTGTTCTCTCGTCGCAGGAGGGAGGGCCGTGACGAAAGCGCCCGAATGGGACCTCATCGTTCACCCCAATTCCCTGGCCGAGATGGCAGTAAAACGCCTGACCAAGGCACACATTGTGAAGGGGATGATGATGATGATGAAGATGAGTCCTCAGAGGGTGCTACAGCAGCACCCTCTTCTGGAGCCTCGGGTCTTTCTGCATCGCTACTGCAGGACGGAGCCCGTCTGGCTGGACGGAGCCATGGCATTGGCCGGGTGATGACCAGCCCGCTCTTCCGTATGCCTGAGAATGTACTTATTGGTGTGGGAGTAGGAGCAGAGGGGAGGAGTCAAACTGATGAGCAGACAAAAGACAAGCCCGCCCCCTCCAGAGACCCAGAGAGACTGCGAAAGATTCAGGAGAGGTCAGAGGGCAATTTGATCTGTCTAGTTATTGTGTAGAATGTTCTGTATGTTTTTTAAAAAACATTACTGTAAATGTGCAGTCACATTAGTGAAATTTTGCAAGGAAAAATGACCATTGTCAAGAGTGCAGCACGACTCCCTCAGAAGTCACTTTCAAACCAAGCAGCTTTCTGTTAGTCAGAACGTCAAATCTGTGTAGGGAAATCTTTCACCTTACCCAGATCGCGTAGATTACTTTTGAAATAACTGGATTTTACCTGAGGAAATTCACTGAACAATGGTAAATCTGACTGGACATTAAAGTTCACACCAAGGACGATAACTATAACAAAAAAGATATAGTCATAAAAATTGTTTTAACACCTTGTCTACACTGGATGTGAGCGCCGAGACATGACTAAAAACAAAACTTATAATAAACACTGATTCTGTCTACACCGGATGTGGCACGACACGAGCCACAAAGCTCTGACAGTAAACTGATGCCTCGTTCTATTTATGACATGCACAAATGCTTTGCAATGGCGCTTTGTCTCGTCCTGTGTAGCTGTTGCAGCACAATGCGATGCGTTCGGTGCTGAGACACTGTTAAAATAAAAGAATAGCCGAGTTCACACCACAACTATAACAGAAGTGAAACGATATCGCTGGAATCACTTCCAGAATGTTTTTTTTTCCAGCTGATGAACGATTAAAAACAATGACAGCCAATCAGAAACAATTCTGCTTTAAAGAGCTCAAGCATTTAAAGTGGCAGGTGACAAATCTGCAGCGCACGCTTAGAATAAACTAAACTATATTGTGCACTGGTGTGGACACTATTATAATAATCTTTAGTTATCATTCTTGGTGTGAATGGGCCCTTACTTTTGATTTATTTTTTGTATGGTAATTTCAAGTTTCACTCAGAAATTCAAAAAGTTTGACATGGCTGTTGTCTTAGATTTCTGTACATGTGTACGTAGTTTTAAACCTTTTTCAAAAATGTTTTGCATTTTCAAAACAATTATTGATCTTTCGTAACAAAAAATTGGGTTAGTTGAAAAACAGTGGTATGAAGTGAAATCTAGTGTTTGTATTTTTGAATCTATACATATCAACATAATTCAATGACAGGGTTCAATAATATATATTTTTTCCCGCCTGGCCCAGTCAGATTTGAACTTGCCCTGTTAACATTTTACATGCCCTACTATAAATGTAATGCACTTTACCTTTTACTATTTTGATCATTAAACAATGTATATTATTATTTATTTACACATGTACATTTTAGTTTTAAATGTATAGGGTAAAAATACTATATACTGCAAATAGGCCTAAGTGATAAATTCTACCACTACTTAAATTCATCAATAGGCTGATGGCATGTAAAAAATGTAACTAAAATAAAATGCTTCTAACACTTATCACAAATCCTCCATGCAAATGGCAGCTAGATAACCTTCATTTGAGAGCATAAGTAGAAATGACCAAATTTGATGGCGTTTACATTTATAGTACATAACCACTGAAACCATGCATGCAGCTATGCATGTTTTTTGGCTAATACTGCCCACAACCGGCACAACACAACTTTTTTTTCGCTTTGATGTGGTTTTGTGGCACTGGAGTACACTGCAAAGTTGAAGTTTCTTGTAATCCTGAAGATCTTGATTAGCTGGTTCAGTTGTGTTTAAGTAGGCTTGGATCTTAGTGCAGCAGGAGCACATTCATAATTTAGTTTGCCGATTATAACCACACCCTCTTCTTACTTTTAGCCTTCTGTTGGAGGATTCTGATGAGGAGGAGGGGGATCTGTGCCGAATCTGTCAGATGGGGGAGCAGTCGAGTTCCAACCCTCTGATCGAGCCCTGCAAGTGCACCGGCAGCCTGCAGTATGTGCACCAGGACTGCATTAAGAAATGGCTCCACTCCAAAATCAGCTCTGGTATGGCTGTCTTTTCCTGAGGGCAGAAATAAACTAGGTGTTTATATAGTGTATGTTCATTTGTTTGATGTGCACTGAGAAAGGAACTGTTTTCAAATTCAGTCTGACAAAGGGGATTTTGGGTTAATTTCCTGTGCTGGTCAAAGACTACTACTGCATAACAGTGTGAAAGCAGACTTATCAAATACACAAGTATGAAAATCACAAGATGGGGAAGAATCTCAAATAAACTGTAGTTAAACTCGTTATGGTCTTAATTGGTTAAAAAAATTTTAATAGTTTTATTCATCCCATATATCTGCTCTGATACACAGGTTCTAACTTGGAGGCCATCACTACCTGTGAACTTTGTAAGGAAAAACTGCACCTAAATATTGAGAACTTTGACATCAATGAGCTCTATCGATCTCATGAAAGGGTAAGTGCATCAAAACAAGATACAAGCACATTGTATTTTTTAGATTACTTCTTAAAAGAAACATACTCGTGTGAAATTGTGCTTGCTCGAGTGCTTTACCAGTTAGTTATGGTTTTTAATGAATCTCTGACGAACAAGATTTATTACATGGAATTAAGAATTCAATCCCAATTTTCACATGCAATTTGTCTGTTCAGACCAATGCAGGGAAAAAAAAGCAATATGCACTTTCTCTCTGACAGAAGGTGGGACTTATGGAAAAGCATAAATACAGTGGTACACAATGCAGCACTGCACAACTTTACATTTCTGACACTCTTATCACAGAGAAGAAATGAAGTCAGACCGTAGTCACCTGTTTTCAAACAGACATTCAGATTTTTGTGTTCACTATGGTGTTTATCAAACAACGGCAAATGCAAGAGTACAGAGACAAAAGAGTGAGTCCTGGATTCTTCCTCTGCAATTCACTGCCACTTGGCAGAATACTCGGTGGTGGTCACAAACAGACTCTCTGGGCATGTGACCAAAAGCACGTATTTTATTGGTGGTCAACACTTTTTACAATGTGATTGAAACCCTCTTTGTACCAACATTTTTCGGACTAACACAAAAGGGCATTTCATACTTGAAATAGTTAACCCTGGGTCATTCTAAACCCTGGGATAATGGAATCCTGGTAATATTGCTTCAGGTTTCATAATACCTGGATATTCATACGCTGTTGTTTCACACTGTACATTTCTAAACCTTTGGTTAACATCCTTATTTGCAGTGTCAGTCGTTGATTGGACGAACGCTGCACGTTTGACCGGTTTACATAAAGGTTCTTGCAGTGCGCATTATCATATTACACTTTACCGACTGTACTATCAAGTTTTTTTTCTTTTCAGACTATAAAGGTATGAATGAAACTGTCTCTTCTTTACTCCAATTGATGTGTTTTCAGTTGATATTTGACCTTTTTCTATTTGAAATGCTAAAACAACAATTTATACAGTGCATGGTGTTTCTGTGACTGTGCAAAGCATGTAAATATGAGGCATGCAATTGGTTGTGGGAGTACACTCTAAATAATACAGCATTGTTTCACACGGCACATGTTTGGCACCGTAATGTGGGGTTAACATCACAAAAGTGGTCCTTACCCTGCTCCGGAGCAGGGTTTCATAACCCTGGGTAAATTTACTCACCCGGTAGAAAACATTACCTGGAGTTAAAGGCGGGTTTTAGAACGACGATAACCCAGGGTTAAGCACAGTGTGAAAAGCCCTAAAGAGGTGTAACTGACATATTAACACAATAAATGGTTATTTCACCAAACGCTCGTCTTGGTGTGAACGGACCTTTAGAGACCATTCTCACACACTGCTTTTTGTGTGTTTTTAAAAAAAAGCAAGATCTAGAGTGGTGGAATAAAAAAACCACAGGGTCTGGACAGGTTTTTTTTTTTAAGTTGAACTATACTTTTAACTTGAGGACTGCGTTTTTAGAACAGTGTTGTGTGAGATGCTAGCGCAACGGTCAAACACGTCCATCTAGCGCGTTTTTCGTGGATAAAAAAACAAACTTCTGTGTGAACGGCCCCTTAGAATCATATCCTAAAATCCCATCACTATTGATCAGACTCTGAACATGTTCCTTATTACAGAGCCTTCAGTTAAGAGACTTCAAGCAAGTAATGTTCACATCTATCTGTTATATGATTCATATTTTTAATGTAGTTTGTGTGTTGGATTCTTCAGTCAGAATATGAGTTCATCAGCTGTGGGCTGTACCTGGTGGTGCTCCTGCACCTGTGTGAGCAGAGGTTTTCTGATGTCCTGGGTGCAGTCAATGATGCTGGGGTAAGCCTTCCACGTCTTTCCTGTATTTTGTTCATTGTATTATCTGCAGGGTTCATACAAGGTGCTTAAAGTACTTGAATTTGACTTTTTGAAATCGAAGTACTGGAAAACCCTTGAAAACAGCCATATTTACAAAGAGGTACTTGAAAAGTGCTTGACTTATTTAAATACAATATATATGAAATTAAATTTTTAAAAAAAAACAAAAATACAATCTTTTCACGCAAAATTAACACTGCAGCCCGTCTAATAAACCCCCATCAGACCTTTTATTGAGAAGTACGTCAATATTATAATATAAAATGTTATTTATAGGACAATAATAGCCATTAGAAACTTTGTATTTAATATATTATTAAATGCGTTGTAACAGGGTGGCCGCGGGTCCTTAAAGTCTTAATGTCTTATATAAAGTTTTCCTAATAAAAGGCCTTAAAAAGTATTAGTATCTGAAATTCAGATTCGGTATGTCTTAATATTTCTGGTCACATTACCGCTAAAATTTCTCCAGTCTGACGGACCCAATGTCCGTCAAATTACCAGTGAAGCATTGAATCGTGAGAATAATTCTGATTTTATTAACAGCGATTGATAATGATAATGTATTTCTGGTTTAGACTCGCGCTGACTGTCTCTGTGAGAGATTTTATAGTGAGAAATCAAAACAAATGAGCATAACAGCACACATAACAAAAAAATTCTAAATGTTGAGTTCATTTATAACAGTTACGTAACTTAACATGACGAGAGCTATTTTGCTGAATATTCTCACGATTGCAAATGTAACATTTGATTTTAGTTCAATAAACAAGTAGTTAATATTAAATTACTTCAATAACTTAGGTTAAACATTAAATATTACATGTACGTTTGTAATATGTGCATTTCCGTCACAGGTTTGGTTTTAAATTTCATTCAAAGTGGCATTAAAAAGGTCTTAAAGTCTTAAGTTTAACTTGTTTATATCTGTAGACACCCTGTGTAAGTTGTATTTTGGATACCTTATATCTCTAATTTGTGTTTAAAAAAATCCTTAAATCCTAAAGATATTGTTTGATAAGTGCGATCTCTGATTGTAGTCCTTGAAAACCCAAAAAAGTAGTGCTTAAAGTCCTTGAAAGTCTTGGAAAATCTTTTTACTGTATCTGTACGAACCCTGTATCTGTTAGTTCAAGTACAGTACTTTGACTCCTGTGATGCGTCACACAATATGAAAGTGTTCATTGCAAGCTAATGTTGTGATTTTGAAAACCAAAACGCTCTCCCCTCTCTCGCTCAGTTTTTCAACTTGGCGAGAACTCTACATGAACACATGGACAATCTTGAAAGTATGTTGTGATTTCTATTTATTTTGATCCTGAACCATAAAACCTTTAATTCTTGTTAGTTAATTTATATAAAACTTGACATCACCTTTTAAATGCATGGGTAAGTATAGATTATAAAACCCAGTGTTGGTTCTGGTATTAAATGTGCAAAATGATTTCACATGGATGTAGTTTAAGATTTGTTTGCATGGCATTTCTTCATTTGTTTATTTATTCCACTAACATAGTCATGTTTGGCTATTGAATGCACAGAGGGAATCACCAATACCTCTGTGTTTAAAATGCTTGCTTGTGTTTAATTCTTCTGTCACTTATTTTTCCCTCCATCCAATTCAGGTTTTAATGTTTCTGCTTATTTCTTGTTTGGACTCAGGTTCATATGCAGAATCTGATGAAGATGAGGCGGAGGACAGCAGACCGTCCATCGACTTCTGTGACTTGGAGGATGAAGAGGAGGAGGAGGTTTAATCAGTTGGCAGGGAGGAAGGAGGCGTGGCTTAGCAGTTTGTCTCTCAGTCTCCTCTCACTTGCTGTTTTCGACCTATGTCCTCCTGTTTAAAGTGACTTTAGCCAACATCTGATTGCCAGCGTAACCACTGTCCCTAGCCTATCACAAGGCTTTCATAATATGCAGTTAATTCAAGTTTATGGGAGATGTTTGGATCCTGTTATGAATTTTATTTTTCATTTTTTTCTGTTTCGCATCAGATTGGTGAGCACTCTAAAGCTTTCAGTTAAAAAAAAAAAAATGTCCGGTGAACTGACCACCATGAGTGCTTTAAAAAACTATGCTTAGAAGCTGGTTTGGGGAAAGAGAGGATCTTGGAAGATTCATGCTCTTAAACTGGTGAAGTTGAGGAACGTTCATCCGCTCATTTATACAGTAGGGCTGCTTGAAAAGGATGTGATGTTTGGTTTCAATATCTTGATGATTTTAAAAAATAAATAAGACCCTTCATTTCCTTTGTTTAATACACGTTTTTCTTTTTTTTTTGGAGAATGGGTGAGTGACAAAATGTGGTCACTTTTCTTTCAAGAGTTTCTCTTTACAAAGGACCTTTTCCACAGTCTGTTTGTATGTTGTACATTAAAATTATGTAATTTGCTTGAATTATTACAATAAAATGGAGGTATTGATGTCTCACAAAAAAATCTGCTCTCTCTTTCAGACGTCTTGGAGCTAATGAACAATGATTCTGTTAACTGTATGATATTAAGAAATTGATTTCATGACTGCAGGGTACAGCACAGGTTTGTCTTTTAGTGGGATTGTCTTTTATTTTGGGGCCCTAAATTAACTTTGATTTGTGGTGTTTTATAGTTCTGATGACTTTAATGTTGAAAAACGTGGAAAGTAGTATAAAGACAAACATACACAAATATAGTGTACTATATACATAAACAAATAGCATATAATATATCATAAATATTTATACATAACTAACCAATACTGTACAAAATAGGTTAACGTATTTTACTATGTATTAATATATTTTTCATTACGTTATACAAATCAATTAAAATATCTTTGAAACACGTTTACCAACGCATGAAAAAACTAAAACATTGCGTAAGCTTTAACAAAGACCAAAAAAAAAAAAACACTGAGCCAGCAGATGGCATCGCGTGAGCTATGACGCAACGCGCGCACCTCACCCTCGACTAGCGCGCACCCTCGGATATTCATCGGTCCACCCGAGAAGCATGATGTGACCGTGACATACACATCCACCCGAGGACAGAAAAACAACAACATTCTCCTTCTCCGTGTCATTGAGTGCAGTTATGTCTGAGACGCCATGCCAGATCTTTCGGGGTGTCTGCTCCTCGCCGCGCTGCTGATTTTCTGCGAGGATGGGTACGTGAGGAGAGCGGAGGGTGGAGTGCTCTCCCATGGCCTCGCCTCGCTGTCGGAGGAGGACAATGCCAGCGAGACACACACGTCCCCGCTCGAGGGACAGGGGAACGCGACGGTGCCGCCATCAGGTAACGGTCACGGCATCAGCTGGTTTCATCCTCAGCATCATCCACATCCACAGCATCAGCTGCGCCATCATCTCCGCATGCGGTGTGCTTGCTAAGAATAGGGATGTTGTCATGATGGGGTACATCACAACAAAGGAGTACATGGGTGCGCTGTTGACCGATGTGCTCGGTGTCTCATAACATTGGCTTAACATGCATTACCTAGTATTTGTAAGCCTCTTCTACAGGGCCACTCGAAGTAAAACCACCTATTTCAGGCTTTTTATATGACAACCATGTCCACATTTTTAAGAGCTGAATAGCTGATATGGTTGAGCTACATTGCACTGCTTATCTTGAATATACTGTTTGGTTTAAGATTTAAGGCGAGATTATTTCAGTCCCAGAATCCCCCAATACCTTTCTGTTTGAGATAGTAGGCATATAATTAAATACATTAGGTGTTTACTGTCAGGGGTTTTCAAACTTTTTGATGGCAAGACCTTCAAGTTGTGAAGGACCCTATAAAGTCTGTTATATATTTTAAGGTTCATTTTAGAAAAATAGTATGTGATATAAATTGTTAATGTACTAAAGCCAAAATAGATGGAAAATATTATTATTAATACAAAATAATTTAAGGATGCACGATATCGACCACCATATCAGTATCGAACAATATTTTTGGTGGTATCGATATACAAAAGCCGATATATTAAAGCCGATAAATAATGGATTATTTCCTTCAGCTGAGACACTTCCCTTAAAAATGTCTGCAGACTCCAGTTTGAAAGCCCCTGCCATGTGTCTTAACTATTCGCATATGGGTCTACTACAGAGAATACACCATATTGTATTGCTACAGTACTTAATTTCCCGTTAGATTTTTTTTCCAGCACCAGATCATGGTTGTAATAGTTTATGCTGATTTGTAACAGTGTAAACTCCATCATAAATCAAAAATGTATTTATCATTATTAAATATCAGGGACCGAAGTTAAGACTTATGTGGTCCAAAGGCTTTTCCTATAAAATTCTGTGTTATTAAACAAATTATTGATGCTACATTGCCTTATTTGACTAACATTTATATACCAGCTGTTATAGTTGGTATGGGTTGAACAGTCTGGTTCTGCCATTATTTCACCCTGGTCATATTTTTGTGTTTTGTGCATCTAAAACAGGCTCTGAGAATGTGAGAGCTTTCACTTTTTTTTCAGTATAGAGACATTTCAAGAGGTTCTTCAAGGTTTTAAAGTCTCAGCTTTTGATGTGCTCATCCGACATTTGGCACTTTGATCTATTTTTAAGTCACTCTGACTGAGCCGTGGGTCCAGTGGTCATTACTATTTCAATGCTAAGAGGTTGCCACCAGATTTTACTGTCACCAACCAATTTTATCATTTTTGGCTGAACTGGTTTTTAATGCGTTGAGCAGTTACTAGAATGAACTTATGAACATTGGCGTGTATGGTTAACCTTAAACTCCTTTAAATTTGTTTAATTTTTAAATAAATATATCTTATCTTTGACTCCTTTTACAGGGGATTGACTCTAAATTTACCATTCAAGCGATGCCATATACATTTTTTATTCATTCCCAGTTTCCCACTGAACCTGACCTTATCTCTGTCTCTAGAGTCGCTCCTGACGCTGAAGATATGGGTTAAAGATGCATCTAGCCAGAGGTTCCTGAAAGGAGCTGTGGTGGCTGTGTTCTTGAATGGATCCCAGATTCACTCCAGCCAGACTTTGGAGAATGGAGAGGTCACGGTCACTGTCCCATACAGCCTTGGCCTGACCCTCACTCTGGTGGCCAGCATGGAGGGTTATGTGCTCACCCAGCTGCCTTGGAAAACCACCAAGATGCCCAGTAAGGCCATAGCCTCTAAGATGCAGTGTTATTTACTAAATTAATAATTTGTGTATTTTATATGATTTGATATCATCAGATTATTATTATTTTTTATACAGTATTAATTAAGTGATACATGTTTGAATTATATATGATTCATCTTAATCCATGAATATTTTTGCAAGATATGCTCAATAAATACCTCAGACAGCAAGAAAGCAGTGAATCAATGTGACCTCACCCTGGCTTGTTGTATAACATCCTAAGTCCTAAAGAAATGACATTCAAACATATGGAGAAATTCAACTAATGTCATTTAAATGTGAAAAACCTGGCTACTAATTGAGGTATGAGTGTTCGTTTTTTTGTTTTTTCCTAGTTTTTTCTGTTATTACGATGTCCCTGCGCCCTCAAACACAAGGGAACATCTGGCTCTTTGAGGATACTGTGTTGATAACTCGAAAAACATCTGGTATGTCAGTTAAATCTTTTCTTATTCTATTATTTGATCCCAACTATTTTGAAATTGAGACCTGTAAAAAAAAGTATAATCCATAATTTAATTTAGTACCTCCATATATTTACTGCATAGACCAAGTACTATCAATGCAGTGATACTGTGACACAAAATTTCCACTTTTATATTATTTATTTATCTTGACGTTTTGCAGATCTGTCATTTCAACCGAGTGTCCAGTTTCCCAAAAGTCTCCTCAAACTGTCTGAGAACACTACCATCTTCATGTTGTCAGCCTATCTGACAGCTCCAGCCCTGCATACAGAAAAAGACTCGAATTTCTTTACTCTAAACATCAACGGCAAAGGAGGTAAGATGAACTTTGAAAAAAAAAGGATACAATACCTATTGCATCTGGCATAATAATTTAACCAGTTGCCTTGTCACATCTCTTGAGTGAATGCTGACCCTGAATGTTTCATTGAGATGTTAAGGATCCATTAAGTGAGTGGAGTATATTGTAGGCCAGTTTTAGTCAATGAATTCTACAAGCTCCATTATTGTTTAGACTCAATACTGCATTGATTAGTTAATGTTATTGATCACAACATATTATTGATTAGGCAATATCAGGCCCCTTGGTTACCCAGATCAAATATGATGGCACATTTTACACACATTATTGATCTTCTACTGTAGTAGTCCAGTGTTTCTCAATTCCAGTCCTCAGGACGTAACTACCAGAATGTTTTTAGATGTCTCCCTATTCAACCCTTAGAAGCTGATGAGTTGAATCAGGTGTTTTAAAGGTAGGGTAGGCAATTTCTTTCATAAACACTTTTTGTTTTTCTGGTTGAAACTCTCTTCACATCCAGTGGTCTAAATATTAAAAAATGTACATATATCTTCTGTGGAAGTCTCAGGAACAAAAAATGTTCCAAATGCAGTGAAACGACATCCTACCTGTCTGTCAGTGTATGTATTTCCATACCGGACGTGATGACGTCAACACATTATCAGCGCATTCTGTACGGCTGTGCAAGATTGTGGACAATCATTCACCAAGCACCGCAAATGAACAGCAGCTGCCTTTTACAGTTCCTCCTGAACCAAAACAACAAGCTTATGCTGCGTTCACGCCATGTTATAATAATAATTTGGAGATGGCAACCTGTGACGTTCTACCCAGAGCTGTTCACGTCCTCGCGATTTATGCGTTTCTGTGTCAACACTATCACTGGCGAAAGTCAGGTGGTACAAGTAAGAGCTGTTGTTTACATCCATTGTTATGGTCTTTTTATGTGCTTTGAGACATGAGGTAATTTAACGTTGTCTCTTATAACGCTTGGCTGAATCTGCTCTGGCTGTACACATTCATGTGTTTTGGAGGAGGCTTTGGAGAGTGCTCTGAAGGGAGGGTGGGATCTAATGCTTTCAAAGCTAGCTTACTATTGCTAGCCGCTCCAAAATTCTACCCTACCTTTTAAGTAGTGAGACATCTATAACATTCTGGTAGGTGGGTCCCTGGCTCTGATAAGGCTCAATAACTTTTCTTTCATAATGGGGACCGGTCTTATTCACCGGCTGCAAGAGGCATCCATGATGCATCAGACTCTCAAGCTAACTACATCATTTATGTGGAAAATGTTGGATGGCTGATGTACAATCTGTACAAGAACATTGGA